TTTGCATTTGCTGAGGTTTGCACTATTCTAATGACAGCTTCATATATGCTTTAGTTTTAATTATGCTGATCATGTGCAAAGTAAACCAGAGAGTGATTGCTTCCGGACAAAAGTTATGTAAGCAAGTTTCTCGCCGACTTAGCAACTTCCGCGATATGTAAGCAAGTTTCTCGCCGACTCAGCAACTCACCCTACGCAATCAAAGCGACGACCCCCGTAAAGAAAATGGTACAGACGAACAGGCGGCCTGAGCGTGGAGCGTGGCCCCTGAAGTTCTTTTTTCTTTTCTTTTTTATTTGTTTGGCTTCTATTTTTTTAAACAAAAAGATAACCTAGTTAAACATTCTATTTTCCAACAACTAGTATATGGCTTCATATATGCAGGAGAAGGTAGGTTTGTATTACACACAGAGTATATGTGCTTAAACATTTCCTGTGATATTAGGCAACAATAGAAAAACAACCAAAAAACCCCTTGCAATAACCAATCTTTTTTTCGACAATTTATTTGATAATGCGAAATCCCCACTCTCAACAACACAATAATAAATCTAATACTAAGAAATCAACAAATTTGTATTGAGTGTGTACGCAGGTCACATTACAACAGTTCATGTATTCAGGTCAAATTGCAACAGTTCATGTCACTTGAGTTCATGTATTTAGGTCAAATTAGAACAGTTCATGCATTCAGGTCACATTACAACAGTTTATGCATTCAGGTCACATTACAACAGTTTATGCATTCAGGTCACATTACAACAGTTCATGTATTCAGGTCAAATTACAACAGTTCATGTCACTTGAGTTCATGCATTCAGGTCACATTACAACAGTTTATGTATTCAGGTCACATTACAACAGTTTATGTATTCAGGTCACATTACAACAGTTCATGTGTTGAGTCAAATTACAACAGTTGACGTATTCAGGTCAAATTACAACAGTTCATGTATTGTGGTCAAATTACATCAGTTCATGTATTAAGGTCAAATTACAACAGTTCATGTATTGTGGTCAAATTACAACAGTTCATGCATTCAGGTCACATTACAACAATTCATGCATTCAGGTCACATTACAACAGTTCATGTCACTTGAGTTCATGTATTCAGGTCACTTGACTTCATGCATTCAGGTCACATTACAACAGTTCATGTGTTGAGTCAAATTACAACAGTTGACGTATTCAGGTCACATTACAACAGTTTATGTATTCAGGTCACATTACAACAGTTCATGTGTTGAGTCAAATTACAACAGTTGACGTATTCAGGTCAAATTACAACAGTTCATGTATTGTGGTCAAATTACATCAGTTTATGTATTAAGGTCAAATTACAACAGTTCATGTATTCAGGTCACATTACAACAGTTCATGTATTGAGGTCAAATTACAACGGTTCGTGTATTCAGGTCAAATTAGAATAGTTCATGTCACTTGAGTTCATGCAGGTCACTTGAGTTCATGCATTCAGGTCACATTACAACAGTTCTTGTATTCAGGTCACATTACAACAGTTCATGTGTTGAGTCAAATTACAACAGTTGACGTATTCAGGTCAAATTACAACAGTTCATGTATTGTGGTCAAATTACATCAGTTTATGTATTAAGGTCAAATTACAACAGTTCATGTATTCAGGTCACATTACAACAGTTCATGTATTGAGGTCAAATTACAACGGTTCGTGTATTCAGGTCAAATTAGAATAGTTCATGTCACTTGAGTTCATGCAGGTCACTTGAGTTCTTGCATTCAGGTCACATTACAACAGTTCTTGTATTCAGGTCAAATTACAACAGTTCATGTATTGAGGTCAAATTACAACGGTTCGTGTATTCAGGTCAAATTAGAATATTTCATGTCACTTGAGTTCATGCA